CCTTTAAAGTGTTTTTTCTCCACTTTGGCCAGTTTTGATCTTTATTATATCTCTCTATAAGTATTTTGATGAGATGTTGAGAGGCGTACTGGTATGGCTGTCTGCTGCCATGCTAACCCAGAAATAGGAACTACTTTTGATGCATTCCCTGATATTCCATCTGGCTATAATGATATTCCCAGAGTGTTCCAGATATTTACATGCGTCTAGTGCAAAGTTATTATTAATTAAAAGCATAAACCTGGCTTTGCAACTTGACTATGTCAGGAGGAAAGTTGTTATTGGTTCATGACTTTTTGATAAGTCTGTTACCAAGTATTTTTAAGCCATTAGGCCATCTAGCCAAGTGATAGTCCCTGAGTGACAATGGAGGAAGCACCACTTAATCTAAATTGCATGTGGAGATGACAAAATCTGAAAGCCTTTCATGATTTCATCCACCCCATTTAACTTAGGGCTACAAGGGAAAGTACTCTTTATGCAATAGTTTCTCATATGTGGGAAATTTTCTCTTCTTGGCACAATTCCACAAATACATAGACATATCCATTTTCAAAAAAATAATGCCAGCCTCACCTTATCTTCCTATTTTAGCAATGTAAATTCTAAATTATTTATTTTTGGAGTAGCCACAGAAAAATTTTGAGCCTGAGCTGACTCACCCAATGCAAAATGTTTTGACATCATCTTCCTTTACTATTGTTTGGATTGTTAAAAGAGAATATACATTTATCTTACTATTAGCTTAGCTCAAACAATGAGGAAGGTAACTTAATTGATATAAAGCCGCATTTTCTGTATTGGAGATGCATTAATAAGACAATTTTTGTTTTAACTTTTTAGAGTCAGTGTCTTTATCATCAGTGGAGTTAAAAATATATGAATATGGTTAGATCCCCTCTTGATATTTGTCATGCACTTAGCAAAAACGACCCAAAAAACAAAAGGCAGTTTTCATTTATATTCATACTGAAAATATACTTTTAAATTATTATTATCAGAAATCTAATTATAGCCTGTAATCCCAGCACTTTGGGAGGCCAAGGCAAGCAGATCACCTGAGGTTAGGAGTTCAAGACCAGCCTGTCCAACATAGTGAAACACTGTCTCTACTAAAAATGCAAAAATTACGCCTGTAATACCAGATACTCAGGAGGCTGAGGCACAAGAAATGC